GACAAGTGATATAAGTGCTCCTATGAATATCGTTCTTTTTATATCACTTGTCATTTCGCCGTTCCTGAGCGCGCGAAATTTCAGCCCTATCATTTGTGGAAAATAATCGCTTCTAATTTAAAAACTATTATAGCCTCGACACTTTTGTATTAGGATTTTCGACTGGAAATGTTCTAAGGAATCTGTCATTAAGAGGACCTCCGGTGGTTTTAGGACACCCTGTATAAGCTATAAATAATATGCATATAATTATAAGCGAGAGCATTAAACCTAACAAGATCTCTCAATTCAAATTTCGGCGTTGCAAAAACTAATGGAAAATAATTTTTATGTAGATTAACGACAACTAAATATAATAATATAATTAAAAATAATTGACCTAGAGCCGATTGTTCCAACCCTCTTGGTGAATTAACTAATAGTTAAATCGTATGTACGTCTTCGTTTTTCCTCTTTAAATCAGACAAAGATAGACATATACTTTAACTATCAGTTAGCTTACCAAGAGGTTGGAAGAGCCGGCCCTTATTGATAAATAATTGAATGCAGATAATTAACCGTCAAAACAATATTATGAATGTCCGCAAATATCGCTAATTAAAAAGTTTGAAACCACATTTTTACTTAATCGCGACGAAAGCTTGGAAATTTATCGTAATTCTCATCTGTATTTTCTCCAGTATTTCTTGACCGTGCTTTCAGATTCAATAAATTTTCTTTGCTTCGCGAAAAAGGTCTCGCAAGTGTAGCATAAGAAATTAAACTTATTGGAATGATACTTAAATGAGTGACAACCTACAGAGCGCGTCTTTCATTAGTCTTTATAAACTTGACAAAAACGCAGAAAGCGTGAAATTGATTCCGCAAGGAAACCGCATCTGATCGAAGGATTTTCAACGAAATCACGTCTATTCTGCACGAGATCGGGTCTAAACTCTTTTTTTTCCCCTTCGCGAACAACGACGCTAAGCGATCTAATTCTAAGCGATTTAATCTTGAATTGAGCAAAAACCGCAGAAACGGTATTTAAACCGCCGATGAAGTCCGTTGATATTGGCCGTATATTCAATCGATTCAGTATACTTAATGCAATTGGAATTTTGAATATCCACTAACATGTACGTTATGAAACGTACGCGTTTAGAAATCAAGCGCAGCACAGCGGTCTCTCTCGTGATATATAATATATTGCATCCCATGCATTATACATTCGCAATATTTACTGATCGCACGAACGTCGGACGAGAAAATCGAAGTGGCACACGTGTCGGAGATTACGTCGGATTCGAACTAGATCGCCGGATGACCCTCCGGAAGCACGGCATTCCCAAAGTATTGACCTCGAGGTCGCGCGGGGGGACGGAAGCGCTGGTACCGCGGTTGGTACCGTGCCAATTTACACCCCCACGTCGCCACTGAGGCTACATCACGCGCAAAACTACCCTTCCGTACGGCGAATCACCTCCAACTATTTATCGTGATTTACCCCTGGCTCCGGCATATCGATCCGAGTGAGAAAAGACGCGGATCGAAGCCAACCGAGTCGCTCCCGGAGAAAAGGCGCTGAAGAGAAGTAGAAACTCCCAGTCAATTCTTGCTGACAAGCTTCTGCTACCTTTCTCGCGACGACAAAAATGAGCAGCAAGAAACAGCTGATAGCGAGCGAGTGGATTATCGAGTACTCCGAGTTTTCTCCACGCGGAAAGATAGTTTTCGCTTGCATTTTGAGCAGGAAATATTTTACGAGAAACACCGAACTCGATTTTAACGGTAGACTCTTGGACTAATCTGGAATCTCCTTACTCTCTTAAAGTCAATCAGTGGATCATCACTGAAAGGCAGTGAACAGTAATTTATCAGTAAGTATATCACTGCGACTGTACTTAGAACTGTGATCAGTGATAATGCACCGATTGACTTTAAGAGAGTAGAATATCGATGACGAAGGGATTTTTTTAATTATAAAAGGAACGAAGGGGGCTTTTCTCGAGGAGATGCTCTTTTAAAGGCGCAATCAGAAAGAGATAATCGCTTAAATTAAATTCAAAGAGTCCCGACGTCTCGAGAGATCTGCTAGATACTGAGCGACCTCGCTTCCCTGACACTGATCTTGCAATATGGACACGGTAAGATGGTTCAACGACCCAGATACGATTTATGCAGATCTTAATAGCGGTGCCGGGGCTCGTGACAACCGCGTAGGAGTGACTTCAGCTGCTTATCCCAGCGTGACCGCTACAAAGTGAAGGCTCGATTTACTGGGTCACACCGGTAGTCCGCTTTTACGGTTCTGCGATTACTTTATTTAGGGATCGGTCGCGATCGTGCTATTCTCCCAGGTGCATTTAAAAGCCACGATCGGCCACGATCGGCTGAAAACGTTTCTCCAAATTCTAAGTCCGTAAAAATATCCCTGAGACTTCACGATGAAATAACTAAAACATACATTATTGTACCCCATAGCCCGTGTCCTTTATTTTAATTACGGATTCGCCGATCGAACTCGATTCCCCTGTGAATCGTGCTATTTTAATTATTCACGGTATACTTGATACAGAAGTTACAGGTAGGCAAGTATACCTCGCGTGCAAGTCGACATTTTTTTCCCTCGGAATATGCATACTTCATTGTATCCTACAATATCGCGTAGTATGTAGCTATATGTAACTACGAGTATAGATCTAACGAAGAAGCCCCCGTACGTGCGTATGTCGCGCGAGATATCTAAGAAATTAGATACGCCTCGCTAGGCAGAAAAACGTCTATAACATGTTCGCGTAATAGGTCATGATTTTGCACGCTATACTATCGTCCAGTGTGTTTCCTTAGTATATTCCGAGCGTGGAAAAGTCAACTGCAAATTAATCTTGCATCAAATATTATAGACTTGATATGTCACGCTATATCGCAATCGCGTGAAACAATAAGTGTTTATTTTAAGAAAAACATGTTCTCTTTCTAGATGCTGATAGAAGAAAGTTATTATCCAAACTTGTTACTTTTCACAATTCATTCCACATCGCCTTTACTATAAGATATGTGTGTACTTTTTAGGTACACGGGTCACTGTCCCACCCTCAAATTTCGCGTTGGAAAGAGATTCGGGGCGAGCACGGAAGAGATTATGAAGGTAAGAAGAGATTATAATTGAAAGTAATGAAATTGTAAAAATAAGAGACGCACTTATTTACGGAGAAAATTGAAAATTATTGTACAAGTCGTAAAATGTTACGAATATAATTAAAGTACGTTGGAGTTTTTAATTTGTACACCCTGTACTGTCACAGGAACTGTTAGAGAAGAAGATTCTAAAGACTGGACCATACAGGCCAAATTCCGGTAGAGAAGCGGAGTTACCAACTCTTCAGGATAAAGAGATCAGAAGAGATTGGAATAACGAAGCTGGATCGTACAAGGCACCCCCGTACATTCTAGGATATACCGGTAAGACCACGGAATACTCCTTCAAATATCTTTTTAATCGTGAGCCAAATGTTCAAAAACTAAACTGTGAAAACTCGGAGATACCAACACAGCTACAGAAATGTTTCACATTCACACAAAGTTTTAAAATTAAGCTTTTGGAATGTAAAAACATTTTCTTTTCTAACTGTAATTTCAGTTGTATTCGATATTTTTATATGTAAATTTAATTTCACATCTTAATTATCAGAATTATTTAATTAAACGGTTTGTAAACAAGGAACACGTAATGTTTCTTTATCGAGCCTCTCTTTGCTACGAAACAATCATATCGACCCAGTAATGATTCAAAATCAGCGATTAAAATCCTATTTTCTCGCCTCAAATTATCTACCAACGTTAAAATGAAATTGCTTCGGCATGACCTTCAATGCACGCGATTAGTGAGCGCTAAATCGACCTAAATCGTTTGTAATTATCAGTTCGCGTATAGCATCGCGCGCACGGCAAAACTAACGTTTAATCATATATTCTCAGTCTCGAGAAAAAAAAATGTATATCGCATATTAATTTTCCCTATTTGCACTTTCTTCCCGGATATGTATATAAAACGTATCTTAACAATGCTATGACGTAACTTTGTACTTATATTTAATCGTCAGAAAGATTCATGCACGTACACTGAGAAAAATGCTTTGATTGTATTGAGAAGACAATGATAGAACGTATTTTGTGTTAAACCAAACAGAATTTCTCGTTGTCATGATAGGGCGCGATATTTCATAACCAGAAGTTTAATAGACTTCACTACGCATCTAGTAAATCCTAAAGGAATTCTGATTCGTCCATTTTCTAGCGGACGACTGGTTGAATCTACCAGATTTCTAATTAATGCAACCAGATTTTTTTTTCAGTGTACCTTTCTCCGCAAATGTGTTGCTTCGAAAGGAGAATAAAAAAATCGTCACTCACTCGTACGTTGCGCAGCAGCGGAGTTATATATGATGTTAATCTGCAAAACACAAATGTATTCAAATATTAGTTTCCAAAAAGTAAATAACATTTTACGAATCATCTCTAAACAACTACCAGAAAAATTACGTAATTGTTAAAAGAGGGTATTTTTAACCCTCGTAAAATCCGGTGAAGAAAATTCCAATTCTTATGATTCAAATAATTATAGATGTTAAAAATTTTTACATGCGTAATTCACGAATGTTAACTTCTTATCTAACACAATTTCGTTACTATTAAATTAATTCGTGAACATTTTGTTTCGAAGAGCTCAAAATAAAATATATCGTGCAAAGATAGAATAGCAATTATTTAGGTAACAATGTAACGAATTTTTTTTAATGACAAATTATACTTACCCACGGTTGCTCCGCCGTTGCTGGAAGCCTCCCCGGGCCTCCTCCTCCTCTCTCGTGGCTTCTTGACGGAACAAACTCACAGCACACTTTATGGCACAAACTCACAGCAACACTTACACTTTGGCACAACACTCACTGGAACACTGCAACATAGAAATATTAAAAATGTTAGTGTTGAAAAAATAAGTAACATTCAATTCTAACTCAAACGATTATAAAAGTCAAAGTTACAAACGTTGAAAATTCTTACATGCGTCCGCAATACCAGTTTCTACCCCCAATACACATTAACTTTAATCTCTGGGTTTGAATTACTTGTTATCTTTTTCTAATTCGTAAAACTAGAAAAACTAGATACAAAGAAAGTTGAACCGAGGTGAAAGTTAAACTGCCTTGGTAGAAACGGGCATAATTCGAGTGTTAACTTATTATATTAGTGTTAACTTATTATACTTATTATAGGCATAATTATCAGTTTTTAATTTCGTCTTAAACGTTTTGTCTCGAGGACAAAATCTCAAGGCAAAATCTATCGCGCGAGGAATGCAAAACGACGCAATTGTTTCCACAGATAACAATAAGAAATTGTCAAAATAACAAACCATGCTTACCTACAATTACTCCGCCGTTGCCCGACGCCTCCCCGGGCCTGCTCCTCTCTCGCCGCTTTTCTAGGACGACGCTCACTCGTGACGAACGTCGGATCACGTACGCTCACGCGTCATTAGCAGAGATAATGACGATCGCGCGACACAGCACGGCACTCCCGAAATCGCGGACGATCGTTTTTCCGCTCCGATCGACGCCTTAGGCCTGTTCTACATTACGTCGTTTATCGCTGTCGGGACGTAGCCGATGGTCCAATGAGGCCTGTTACACAATACGTCGTATGTCGCTGCCGGATGTCGGGACGTAGCCGATGGTCCGGTGAGAAAATTTATTTTTTTCATTCTCTTCCACCATTGGCTACGTCCCGACACCCGACAGCGACATACGACGTATCGTGTAACAGGCCTAGAAAATTTCTTTTCTGAAAAAAAAACATCACACGGCGCATTGTAGTGAATCCTTTGTAGTGAATCCTTTCCTCTAGCGTCAACTCGTGAAAAGTGAAAAATCTCATTGAAGAATTCAACATTCGTCAATGAAATTTTTCACTTTCCACGAATTCACGCTAGAGGAGAAGATTCGTGATCGAGCCCCGGGCCTAAAGGCCCGTGTCCCCACGATGCTAGAACTTGCTCCGAGTTCTAGTTTCGAGAAATGCGTAGCCAATCAACCTGCAACTTTTTATGGAATAGCTGCAAGTTGATTGGCTACACATTTCTCGAGACTAGAACCTGGACCAAGTTCTCTAGCATTGTGGACGCGGGCCTTAATGCAGGATTCACACTGAATCCGATATCCAATGTGATTAGTTCATACTTTTAGATCCAACAAGGAACCAAAAGTAAAAACTAATCGTATTAGATATCGGACGTCGTACGTTGGATACCGGATCCAGCGTGAATCCCTGCATTATGGGTCTAGTCTAGGCAGACCAGCGCGACAACGCGACGCGCGATTATACAGCGAGCATGTAAGTTTTATGGGAAAGCGTACAGTTTTCCCATTAAGACTGTACGCCCACTGGATTATCGCGCGTCGCTTTGCCGCACCGATCTGCAAGAAGCCCGTATATCAGACTACAGACTCCCGACTCCGACTCGACTACTGACTCGGACTCCCGGCCATGATCCAACCAATTAGAGTGGCGTCTATTCCCGAGTCGGCAGTCGGGGTCGGCCGGTGCTTTGCTGTGATTGATTGAATCATAGTCGTGAGTCCGAGTCAGTAGTCGAGTCAGAGTCGGGAGTCTGACACGGGCTTTAAGGTGGCAGAGAACGATCCGTAAACGCTTAAGACTGTCTCAGTCGTAGACGTAGGGCAAGGCAGAGAGAAACGTAAGTCGTGAAAGGCTATTG